CCCCAACCCCAAAACCCCAAAACCCCATGAAGCAGATTTATTGATGATATTGATAAACTTTTTTCTAAGCAATTTATTACATTAATTAATATTAGTAATATATGGATACTACTTCAACTGATTTAGGAGATGATCCAAATCAGAAGCTCATACATTAAAATTACAATTATTCAGTGATTGGTATTGGAAATTCAATTAAAGACGATGATACTTCAAATAGTGGAATTAGTATTAGTGGGAAATCCCAGCCAATCGAATGGACAACAGATATTCCACAATAGGCTCCAACTTAAGATGTAAATATATAAAGAGATGGGCTAACTGCAACGTCAATATGGGGATATGCCGTAGGTCATTTTGATAATGATTTAGTTGCAGGTCTTGGTTTTACCTATCAGCTCTATTATCTTCAGGAAATCGTTAAATTGAGTCAAGTCAATTCTGGATTTACTATTCTTTCTGGACAAATTACTGATGGCCTGACGACACCACTTATAGGAATGGCAAGTGACTCTTGTAATACAAGAATTGGAAAAAGAGCTCCGTGGTATATTGTTGGAACATTTTTAGTTATACCTAGCTTTATTGGAATCTTTGTTTATCCACCTTTGGAAGGTGATGCATAAATTGCTTACTATATTATTCTACCTGCTGTTTTGAATGTTGGATGGGCTTTCGTTTAGATATCTAATATGTCGGTAGTAAACTCTCTTTCAGCTTCAACTCAAAGAAGGGATCGATTGATATCACTCAGAAATGGATTCTCCTATCTTGCGAATACACTAGTTCTAGTCTCAGCACTGATAGTATTCTCAACAGTCAAAGATCAGATTCTTTAATTTAGAATTTTGTGCTTGATGTTAGGAGGTCTTGGATTCTGTACGAGTCTTTATTATGTTCTTGCTGTAAGAGAACCATTTCTCACAGCAGAAGCTAAAAGATTACAAAAATAGTACTTATAGTATACTAAAACTGGGGAACTAAAAGAAACAAGAGAATTAGAAGAAGAGGAGGAAGAGATTGATAGAAATCCTAGAACATCAAGCATGAGTCAAAAGATCACTGTTTGGTACTAATGGCTATCAGAGGGTCAATTTTATATCTATGGAATGGCTTATATGCTTGTCAGAGTGGCTGTAAATGTTACAATGTCAGTACAGCCCTTTTATCTGATCAATGTGACCGGTTTCATAAAAACAGAAGAAAATCCCACTCCCTTGCAACTTGCCTTGGTACCATTGATTTCCTTTATCACTTAGTCAATCTTCTCACTCTTCTTTTACAAGAAAATGATGGAAAGATTCCAAAACAGACAAGCTGTTCTCTTAGCTTCAGTAATTGTCCTTGCTCTTGGATCCATACCACTTATTATTTTAGATGATGACGAAAATGTTAGATGGCTAGTTTACTTACTCTCACCAATCTAAGGTCTTGGTCTAGCTATTTGCCTGAATACAGCTACTAGTTTGATTTCTGATGTTATTGGTAAATCAGAGTCTAATTCAGCCTTCGTCTATGGAGCTTATGGATTTTTTGATAAAGTGGCAAATGGTGTCGGAATCTTTTTCATAACTGCTTATCTCAACAAAGACCCAACAGCACTTAGATTTATTGTTGGATTAACTCCCCCTTTGTGTGGTCTATTTGCTTATCTAGCCTGTATGGTTGGACATAGAAAGTATGCAAACAGACTTGCCGCTCTTTCTATGCATAATGTCAAGAGAAAGAAGTCTAAATCCATTAATAAAAAATGATCATCGAATTATTAATAAAATCTTAACTATAATCACATTCTTTCAATAAAACTAATATTGAAGCTAAGGGGTTTTGGGGTTTTGGGGTTTTAGACTTCTTTCTCTTGACATTATGCATA